AAATGCCAGTTGGCTCCACTAGAAGAAAAGAGTCTGTGGGGACTTCAAAGCGGGAAAAGTCGCGGCGCAGGCGCTGCTGGGCGGACTTAGTTGGTACACCAGGTGGCACCAGATGTATCGTCTGAGGTTTCGTTGTCATCGTCACAAGTCAACAAGAGCAGCGTGGACACGATCATTAAGGCCACTCTTTTGTTGCACTTTACCAGTATCCACTCCTTTGCAGAGCAGGAGAAACTGTCCATGTCGCGTGGGCGGATGCAGCAAGCCAGAACTGATGTGACGGAGGGATGGGAGACATCTCGCCAATCGCCTGGCACTCATCTAAGATTGACAGGTCTTGCAGAAGCCCGGGCTTCAGGGAAGATCAGGTGGCTGTGAATGGGGAACATCATTCGTATTATGTTAGGCTGCAGCGGGGCGAGATTGTTGAAGGTCTTCCGACCGTCAGATGTCCGGACGATGTGGTCCGACAAGTGACACGATGCCTGGTCACTGATTCTCGAAACCTCCTCGATAAGCTGCAGACTGAGGTCCTGAGTTTCCGAGGCTCGGAAAGCGCACCAACGCTGTCGTTGAAAAAAGCTCCGGCGTCTGCAGACTTTGCCTGCTGGCAAACTCGCTCGTTAAGGAAGCTGGTCACGCTAAGGAGCTGGAGTTGCCTTACAAGATATGCATTGTAGAAGACGACGAGATGAAAGCAGCTCGCAACTGGGCCCATTCGAAGAAAATGCTGTAAAGGAAACATGCTACAATCATTCAAAAAAAACTGGCGCCTGGACCTGGCCCCTGCCCCCAAAACCGCCAATAATTCAGTACTTAAAACATTCAAAACAGTAACAACACTGAAATATGAAATTCCAGGGGCCCGAATTTAGTATTTTCATGCTTCTAAAACTTTTCCTGAACATGAAAATATGAAAATCCTGGGAATCCAGATGCCCAGGGGCTTCATGCTGTTTGAATATTTCGGTACAAGTAAAGGACAACCATTTAAGAGCATTCATAAAATCGGGCCCCTGGAGCTATAAACTTTCATGTTTGTAATGTGTTGAATGTTACTTTCTTTGGGCTTTGGGGCCAATTCAGGGGCCCGATCTATTCTTTTCTTCCCTTACCGAAATACTCCAAACCACTAAAGTATCAAATCCGAGCCCCTGAAGTTTAGCATTTTTATGATGTTTTCAACATTAAATTTTGCGCGACGGGAATTCAATATTCAAATCCGCACCTGGGTGCGTCACATTGAAATGTTAAATTCACCGGCCCCACGTCGCATCATACATACTCTTCTATCTTGCCCTCCCCCCCCTGCGAGTTATCCACAAGTTATGGTGGAGGATCCTGTGTATCCTGCCCTTGACCCCTACCCCGGACTTCTCTACCAGTTGAAAAGACTACTCTGAGTCTACTCTGTATGAGTGTATGCGCAAGCTCTGAACCCGTGTAACGTGCATAGGGCAATTAGAGCTTTCCCGATGGATGATTGTGAGCTTCAATACTCCCGGATCCAAGATTGAAGATTCAAGATTCGGGGCAAGCTTTGTCTTGGAATCTTGAACCTTTGATCCGAACGTATTGAAGTTCAATCCTCGGCTCGGGATTGAACTTCGATACTCAGGACTACTCGCTTTGCCCATTTTAAGCGTGGCCGCCTGCCTCGCAGCCTTACGATTCTCAGCGCCCTTATATCCTCCCATTCTTCGCCACAAAACACCCGAATCGAAAACTCCGCAAAACTTTCTCAGACATCTTCAATCTTCGGTGATCCGGCTTGAGCTTCAAGCTGGTTCCAGCACTGTCGACCATTTGGAGTCTTGGAGGACTTGGATATCACTTCGAACTTGAAGCTGCCTGGATAATTCAAGCCGATTGGGTACCTTTGAAATTTTCAATCTTAACTACGCCACCTACACCAGGTCTTCTAATTTTTTGTGTGAGTTAAGCTTGCTTTCTTTTGGAGACGTTCCAAATTGTGTGGGTATTCAATGCCTTTGTATGCGACCTACCCAGCCGTCTAATCAATTAGCTACCCTACGGAGTTGTACAAGTACACCTTTGACATATGAAGCTATGTGCTTAATCGTGTACTTCTGTGAATCACTGAATGAAACTATCCAAAATCTTGGCTTGGCGATTTCGGATATGTATAATCATAATCGTTTCAAGTGAAGTAGAGAACTCCATTAGGCCGAATCTACGAGCTTGACTAGGAAGGGCCAGGTTTTTCAATCCCCCTAGTTTTGTGGGATGCGTGTACGTTTGCCGTTTGATAGCCACTCTGAATCAGGACTCAGAGGGCCCAAGACCGTACACCTAAAACGCCCATCACCTTCTTTCTGTTGGGGCTCCAGAGGCCTTCCGATTTTATCCCTCAGGAGGGAGGATTTGGGGTTGAGTAGGTATTCCCTTATTCTGGGTTCAGTTTTCCCTTGGTGAACGCGCTTCTCCAAAGGCCGGCTTCTCCAGATTAGGGGGTGTTGAATGCTCCGGTCCGCACTTATCATAAGAGTCACGTCGTCTGACTGTAAGGTTCCAACAAAGTGCGAGAGCAGGCATGTATTGCAGCTCGGAAAATGAGCCAATTGGGTCATTTCCACCCAACATGGGTGGATAACCCAGGAAAATCAGCATGCATATGTATATTAGTATATGAACATGTACATGTATATGTACATGCTCATATATATGTATATGAATATGAACTATATATGTATGCTTCGTGTTGATTGAGCCATAGGGTTTTAAGTTTGGGCTCAAGGAGGTCGGTTAAGGGTTTTGAGAAAGACGTATGCCCCTGCACTTACAATAACCGACAACGTGAAATTCGCCGATGGTTTGATGCCTCAATCCCCAAACCTATACCCGCTTCTACAACATCCCACAACCCCTAAACCCCAAAACTTCCAATAAATTTCAACCTCTAAACATGCCCAAAACGTAAAGCCCGACAACAAAGCGAGCCTTGTCGGACCTCACAGAAAGGAAGAAAACCAAGCAGTAAGCAACAGCAAGCAAAAGTGACAAGCAACAATAATTACAAAATAAAAGCTACACGCAAAGACAAACATAGCAAAACCAACCAACAAAAAAATATAGAAGCGGAGCAGCAGAAAGCAGCACTACCAGAAACACCTCTCCAGATATTTCCGATTCCTTTGCGTTTGAACCCCAATGTGTCAAAGAGGAACTCAAACAACGAAGCAAGACCCGCAATGAACGAAGACGAATTCACTTCAGTCTGATATGCCATATATAGGTCATAAGAACAAGGCACCTATCAAGGACAATGTTTGCTTTTGCTGCAGCTGTGCTCCATGCCCGCACACTCTCTTTTGGAGAGTGGCTGGTACTATGGGGGGTCCCAGAAATCTTGACAAAGCACTTCAAAGCACGGGAGAGAGAGAGAGAGAGAGAGAGAGAGAGAGAGAGAGAGAGAGAGAGAGAGAGAGAGAGAGAGAGAGAGAGAGAGAGAGAGAGAGAGTGAGTGAGTGAGTGGGTGGGCATCCATGCACGTCGTTGCCAACCCCTGGCCGCGCTGGCTCCGATCGTGCTTTGCATCAAGCTCTCCCATACATCTCCTCAGCCAAAATAACGAAGCAGCTGAGTCTTGAAGAAACGAAAACCAAGTTTACCGAACATGGATTCGCCTTTTCACCCTAGGCCCTAGTCTAACTCGAGACATAAGGAACAGGACTATGTGACTAAGCCCGCGTCGGCTTCCATGGCTTCTCTGCCCCTTTTCGAGGTGTGTCGGCATGTGCAGAAGCAAATCGCTGCGAGGACAAGGCACAGCACTGCTGAACCAACCAACGTCGCCACAATCCATGGAAGGTCACTGGCTGGCTCCACCACCACCACCCCAGGAGCTCGCGGCGACAGCTCCGACATGCAGGGCCAGTCTAAAGATGGAGAGCCAACGGGCCTAGAGCTCCCTCCAGGACAGTCTAAAGAGCAACGCATCTGCTGCTGAAGAGCCGCACATTCGCTGGAATAGTTCGCACCCATTCTGCATGCAGCCTGCTCCACGCAGCGCACAACGCAGCGCGTAGTCCAACAAAGGCACATTTCATGTGCCGTGACCTCGGTGTCACGCTTTACTGCAATGCAAGAGAAATCTAGTTATTGCTTGAGTGGAGCTGGCAAAACTTCACTCTTTACACATCGCGTCATCGCAAATGCTCGAGGAACTGCACAAGAAGTCATGCCAGCTCGGTTCAGACAATAAAAAGCAAGTCGCACGGGCACGAACTCATGCTTCGAGATAGAAGTCGTGCTCGGTTGTTCCCATGCTGAAGCCCTCTGCAATTGTGTTCTGACCAACCCAATGCTCACGGAGCTTGTTCCTTGAGGAGGCAGCCGGCAGCACCTCACACTTCACACCGAAGCCGCAGAGAGGCCTCGAAGTTGTCGACGCTGCGCGTCGTGCTGTCTTGGGAACAGATTTACAGCTTCGCTCCATTGCGCCAAGAACTCTGATGATGTGGAGGGGTGAGTCACTGGGTAGGACTCTCTCTTTCGCCAGGGCCAGGGGCAAGGGGCGAGCCCCCTTGCTCTCTCTTCTCCCAGCTTAAGGGGCGAGTCAAGCCCCGGGCGCTGCGGCCCGCCCGCCTGTTACGGGCTCTTAGAGGGGAGTGAAGGTTAGATGATTTTCTCTCTCTCTCTCTCTCTGTCTCTCTCTGTCTCTCTCTGTCTCTCTCTTTCACGAGCTGAGGTACTGGCGTTCATTTCAAAAACAGCGCGGCAGTACTGTGCATATGCCGTGGTGGCAAGACAGGTACAGTCTTCCAGGCAGCTGACATATGCCTGCTGAGACCCTCCCGCGCATCCGCTCATGGCTCATCCTGTTCAATGTCGGAGCAGATTGAACCATCTCGGCTGCAGACGAATCGGCTGCAATGGATGAGACGGCTGGTGTGCGCTTGGACGCAGCAATGCTGTTTAGTGGACCCTATATAGGAGCTAGAGCGCCCCCGTTGTTTTCCAGGAGGCACTCCATTTTTCTAAGGCCACTTGGCCGCTGCCGCCTCCACCAGAGCGTCGGCTTCGCTTGCCTGGAGCTGCAGGTGCTGTGCCGTGGTTCCAGTCCAGCCCTTCTGGAGGGAAAGGATAGATGGAGACGCAGCAAAGGTCGGAGCCTCCTTCTTTGTCTTTGATGCCTGGATGAGTGCCGTTTTCAGGAGTTTGCTCGCTCGTGTCAGCTCGTGGAAACGAGCGAAGAGCCGGGGGGCCGTCTCCGAGCTCAGAGCAGCCAAGGCCCTCAGCTCGAGCTCCGCCGAGAGCGCTTTCACGACTCTCCTTTGCCGTCCTTCCAAGACCTCCGCTCGCCGCTCCAGAGCCAGAGAGAGCTCAAAAGAATCCTCCGAATCTGCGTGGCCTCCGCTCTGCTCGCTCTGCTCGCTGAGCTCAGCGAGTTGCTCAGCGAGTTTCTCCAGTCTTTTTGGCAAGGTTTTCTGGAGGTGCTGCACGAGCTCCTGGCGTGGGCAGAGGCTCCCAAGCTGGGCCTGGAGCTCAGAAAGCTTGCGAGCCATGCGTTCCGCCGATCTGTCTTCCGAGTCCTTTGGCGAGCCCGAGCTCGTGGAGCTCGCCGAGCTCGGCGCCAGGAGCAGACGCAGGGATTCCGTGCCCTGTGACTCTTTGCAAGCACTTTGCTCACGAGGCTCGCTTTTGTCACCTGGGATGCCTTTCGATTCGAAGTCGAGAAGCTGAAGAGCTATGGGTGACCTTGACGACCGCCGCTCGACGCGCAGAAGTAGCCCACGGCCGTCTAGCAGCTTCAGCCCTGCGAATTCGGCGCTGCTCTCTTTCGCTTCCGATCTGGTCTCCGCTAAAGTCCTGACCGATGAGGTTCCGTGCAAGTTCACGTCCACCACTGCGACGAGCGAGTTGGAGTAGGCCAGAAACGAGGGCCCGGGGCCGGGCCCCTCGTTGCAGAGTGGGAGCATCTGCAGCGAAGCTTCTGCGGGGTGCGGGCACATGAGGTCGATCTCTTCCAGAAGAAGGGCCCGATGGGTGCATTTTCCGGCGGGAAGGGAAGTGAAGGCCGGGCCGGGAGCGTCTTCCAGGGCCAGGAGCTGGATCAATCCGGAGTTCGTGGCCCGGGCGATGAGGACCAGCGGGGAAGCCAGGCCGCTGCTCCCAGCCAGGAGCTGCATGCTGCAGTAGGAGCTCTTCGCATGCCGGGCTGATTGGGGAGACTGAGGCCCATCTTGCAAGGCTTCCTCCACTGTCTGCTCAACGGCCATTCCTTTAGGGCCTCTTGCATGCAAGTGCAAGCTATGCCGTAAAACGCAGGAACCGCCTGAGGAGTGCTCCGTCCGGATGGAATGCTCAGCTGTCAGAAGACTAAGAGCTTCCCTAAGCCAGTCGTTCGGATCTGCAGCCAGCGCGCTGAGCATCGCTTGTGGCATCACTGCCACTGAAGGAAGCACCGGGTTGCGCAAGGAGATTCGTCCCGAAGATCCCAAAAAGAACACCGACAGGCTGAGCCAGGCTTCTTCTGGGGTCGTCGCTTGCGGGCCGTTGAAAGCCCAGGCAAAGTCCACCACCTGCTCCGCTTTGGGCCCCTCGAAGTACAACTCCGGGTCTCTCAAGGAGGCTTGGGCGCTCAAGTTCACCAAAGACCAGCTCCCGTCCTCAAACAAGACACCTAGATGGGCATCGCTGAGTGGATGCCAGGCTACTTTCAGAATCCCAGGGCCAGGAGCAAGGGCCGCAAGGGTCACCGCCTGCAAGTCCCAGCATGCCTCGCACGAAGGGTTTAGAGTCTCGCGGAGCCGGGGACTGGGACCCCTACTCTGTAGGGATGTGAGGACTCCACTTCGGTCGGCGGTCCTCGGACTCTTCCTCCAATTTCGTCAGCGGCGGCAGCGCCACCGCTGCGCAGGAGCGGGCAGCCGCTCCAGCGAAGAGGACGAGCCCCCGGCCGCCGGCTGCCAGCAGGAGCTGCGAGAAGGGCTCCTTCCGCACGTCGCCCTCCACCCCGATCTGAATCTTCCGATTCACCCAAGAGCTCGCGGTTCCCCGGGTTCCGATGAAGAGCTCCACAGAAACCTGCGAGGACGCCGCCTCCTCCACACTCTCCTGCCAGCATGTGTGCCTCCACGACTAGACCCGTATACGGGACCATCCCTACCCTCCGCTCCTTCGCTGTCTGCGATGTGAGCCTTGGCGATGAGTCAAGTGCAGTGCATCTAGGAATCTATAGATAGGGGTCGGCCGACGGTGGTAGGACCCGGGCAGGAACAGCGCGCGCTTTTCTCCCCATGCCGCGGCCTTGGCACTTGGCAGACTTAACGCACACACACCAGGGTGCTGCGAAATAGAGCTGCCCGCTGCCGCCAGTTGAGTCTTCGTGCACCTGACTTGGACGGCAATGTACTCAGCTGGGCTTTGGCTTTGCATGCAGCCTTGGAAGGCTGGGCGCGCTCGCCTGCCGTGCAGCCAGTGCATGTCGCTTACCAGGGAACTGAGCGAATAAGTGTCCGTCTTTGACTCAAATCACACGGACACAGGATTCGCCGCTGGCACCCTGGCTCGCTCGCCTGTCCCCAAGCCGGAAATTGCTCCAGCGAAGACCAATCCATGACGAGTCGGATTTCTTTGCTGATCCTCCTTGCATGCCATTTGGTAACTTTGGTCACTGGGTTTGCAGCGGCTTTAACTTGGCTTCGCTTGAGCGATGTTATATGAGAGCAGCATGAAATGCACACTGCATGAGGCTTGATTGCTTGATCGCTTGCGGAGGCAGGGCTCTTTCCCGTGCAGCACCAACGCTACCAACGGTCTAAGGCTACAGGCTGCTGGCCTCGCCAGCAGCCCGGCTATGGAAAAAGAGCTGTACACCGCAGTCCGCTGCAATGAATTATAAGCTATTCGGTCCAGAATTTCCGTAAAGGGCCGATCTGAACGCTGAGCTCCGGAAGACCTTAAGACTCCGAGTCTCTGAACAAAACAGGAACCTCAGATATATCGACTCTGTTGCAGAGTCGCATCTGGATGAGTCGCGTCGACTGCAACATGGGACTGCTCGCTTACTCACCTGCCCTGGCCTAGCGTAACCACATTCCCGACAGCCCAATGTAGCAGAAGGTTCTAGCAATATAAGCGAGAGGAATCTTGAAAAGTGAGACGGCAAGGAACAGGATGCAAAGGAAAAGGAACACACGAAAGCATATCCCGCCCCAGCACACGTCACGTCACCGCGGATGATTTCAGGAGGCCCTGGAGGCAGCGCTCGAATCGCTCAAGCCTCCGCAGCGCCACAGCATATGCTCCTGAAATTCGGCTGCGACGCAGTGCAGAGCAAGGAATGCATCATGAATCATGGGCGGCTCCTTATTGGCCGCGAATGACCCTGAATCGTTCGCAGGCATTCGCCAGTTCGAAGATCCTTCAAAGCATGCAGCAAATGAAGGCCTCAATTCAGGACTTCACTTTGCGCAGAGCTGACGGTCCCAGAGTTTTAAGCAGCCATCGAAGGCTCCAGACACTGCACGTTCTCGAGCCTCGGATTAGACGGGCAATTGCAGACGACGGTCTTCTTGTAATGGATGGAACTCAGCGACAGGCCCAGTCAGCATGAATCGCCCACACGAAGCCAATGTGTCGGGCAAATCTGGTGCATGGAGAGCCCAAGTTTCGTCGGAGACATGCAAACGTTCGTGCATGTCGTGCTTTCGTGCATTTCGCCCTGGCCAGGCCTTGCAAGGCATTCGCCGCTCTCGACACGCCACAGAGACAGGCTTCCGTCGTCGGAGCCAACCAAGGCCCGGCTGTCTGCTTCCCGCCAATGCCTCAGTGTCAGGCTCTCAGACCCGGTCAATTCTCCCTCCGTTTCTTATAACCACTGAGGCTCACTCGCGACAAGGCTCCTCAGCGCACTGTAGTGGGCCAAGAAGACCTGCGCAGACTCGAAGAATCTATCGCATGTCTGCTGTCGCCGCCCGTCCTGGCCTTTGCACTCCTCAGATGAGGTATTTTCCAAAACACTGCAAACAAATCACAGTTGGCCCAAGGCTGTGGCTTCCTGCGAGGATCTCCCGCCTCGGCACTGCTTCGGTCATCTTAGGACCGTCTTTGCGCGTCGATTTGTGCCTGTGGAAGCATGTCCGAGACGCCAACTGCGCCTGTCACAGCCACAACGGCCAGATGGAAACGTGATTTGCCTCACAAGCCTCTCCCATCGAAGTGCCAATACGCCAGGTGTCCATCCTTGCGCCGGAGACCAGCAGGGTTGGAGCCTATAGTCCCCTTTTTATCGTCAGAAGTTGGGCGCAGAGCTTCGAAGCCGCTCAGAGCCCGCCGGCCACAGCAGTCGACGACAGTGCCGCTCACGGCCGTGCCGGACTCCTCAGTTGTATCGTCAGGGGCCGGCCCGAAAGAAGCGACCACTTCTGCACCCTGCTCCTTCGCTGTCTCGGCACCTTCCATGAAGTCCCCAAGCACCTTCCAAAGTCACACGAAAACGGTGCGAGCCCCCGCTCGTTTGAGAGCGCCTGCGCTGCGTCCAAGTCCCAAAGGCGCACGCCCCCGCTCCGAAAGCCCGCGCAAGCCCTGGACGTCCAGGCAATGGGGAGCCGGGCTCCCAAGGAAGGCGCTTGGGTCGCATTTTTTAGGTCAGCCGCCTTCTGCCGGGCCAGTCAACTGACAAGGAATCGACCTGACTCGAATCCGACCTCTAACGATTCCCGGATTCTCTGAGGCCCTAAGTGCCGGAGCCGCAGTCTCGGAGGCCAGGATGTTCAAGCATCGGAAAGTCTCACGACGACTGAACTTGGACTTTGCTACTTCAACTGCTGTTGAACTGTTCCAGCCTTGAGACACCACAGCTTGGCAGGGCCGACGAGGCAGCCAGTCAATGCCTGTCGGTTGATGACTTCTGACCGTAAGCACGGCCACTCGCTTGAAGAGCTCGCCCACACAGACACAAAAACACACAGACACCTACACCCGCGCAGACACTTGGGTAAACTATCACATGGGAAAGCACGTTTGGTTACATCTCGTTTGGTGTTTCTTCGTGTGCTTTCCGAAGCTGCGCTGAATGCATCAGAGGTGTTCCGAATCTGATGGGATGGCCTTCGGATTTCACGGCGCACAAATCGGCGTCCCCACCTGTTTCACGGAGTATCCACAGCTTGATCCTTCATAGCCAACGTCGCCAGGAAGGCCGTTTTGAGATCTGTGTTTGTTAAGTCCCACAGTTTATTTGCCGCTAGCTGAATAGCGAAGCGAAAACCAGGATGGCTACAAGGTGAGCACCCCTAAGTCACCCTCCCCCCGCAAAAGCCAGCCCACTGCAGGGCGACATCCCCAAGGCGGCACGTCTGTGGCATCAAGTGTTGAAACATGCGCCAAGGCAACGAAATGTAGGCGTCGTACAAGGCATTGCTGCAAGAGTCTCTCTGTTGAAGCAGCAAAATAACATGTCTGAATTACCAAGTAAACGCCTCGATTTCGCCAGCCACACAGCACAACAAGAAAGACGCATTCCCCATGTACAGGCGGACTGAAGACATAACAACTGCAACTCCGGAGCATCTTCCCCAAGTAAACGCGCGTTATGATATGTTTCGGAAGTCATAACTATAAATTCCAGTCGTTTCCGCAACTGAACGCTTGGCTTCAGGCATGTAGAACAAGTCCCATTTGCAAGGACAACTCGAACCGGAAGTCGTAGCATTCGCCTTGTTCCCCACGTAGACGCACGATTTCAGAAGCACCCGCTCCAAACACACATCATAGCGCACGATGCGCGAAGACTTGAGGAAAACGTACTCGCTCGATTTTAGAAGCACCCGCTCAGCACAAACAGCAGTAGAATCATAGCACTTCAAGACCAGCCGTTCCCAAACCAGACGCTCGATTTCCCAAACACCCTCTCAAGACACGTACAAGCGTTCGGTTTATCTCACATGTGTACCCAGCATCGTTTGGTGGTAAACCTGGCGCCGATCAAGCTGACGGAAACCGTTTGGGCAACACAATAGCTTTTCAGTGAAATGCTATACATCATGCCAAGTTTTCTGTCGACGCACATCAGTGACTCATCAGGCCCAGCCATTCCCCATCCAGACGCTCGATTCCATAAGCACCCACTTGAGACGCACATCAATGACACGTCAAACCCAGTAATTCCCGAACTTTAGACGCTCGATTCCACAAGCATTCATTCGAGACGCACATCAGTGGCAGCAAACAACATCAAACTCAGCCGCTCCCCATCTAGACGCTTCATTCCACCAGCACCCACTGGAGACTCACATGAGTGGCATCACAGCGCATCAAAACCAGCCGCCCCCCCATCTAGAGGCCCGATTTCACAAGCATCCACTCCTGGCGCGGCCCGAGGGATGCGCCACCCACCCCGCTTCCGGTCTCAAGTGTTGCATCCGCTCGTAGATTCAAATCTGGGTGAAGGATACCCTCCGGTGTGATTGCATGGGCCCACCCTCCACTGTAGAATCCACAGGCAGCAACTGGAGACACATATCATTGGCATCGCAACAGATAAAGAGCAGCCTTTCCCCATGCAGACACTCGCTTTCGCAGGCATCAAGACACACATTGGTCACGCTGGCAACAGGGGGGACAGCACGTCACAGCCAGCGGTTTCACATGCAGACGCTCGCCCGCTCATCGGCAGAACAGTGACAGCACATCATAGTCAGCATTCCCCATGTAGACGCTCGACCAACCAGGCAACCAGTGTTCCGAATGCAAATTTATGCCGCAACTAGATGCCTCCATTGCAACTAAGACGACAAGATCCGATACATATGAAGTTACTGTATTCATCAAGGTGACGCCCCTGCAGGGCGCCTTTCGGACATCTGGGACGACGTAGGGCCCAGACCCTGTCGCAGCGGGACTGTCGGTCTGCTGAATTCCTGTAGCCGATCTTGGAAACATCTGAAGACCCAGCGGGCCTTGCAGTGTACGCTTAAGGAAGTTTCCATCCTTATCTCTTGTGCGAGTTAGAACCCATGAACCCAGCGACCGGTAAAATAATTCTTGAACTTGCCAAACTTTCTGGTATCGACACTCAGCAGCCTTGATCGCATCGAACTGTTTCTTCAGTTCTCTTTTCTCCTTGGCTGTCGTTTCCTTCCTTTGTGCATCTGCCGTTCGAACCAATTTCTTTCGGTCCCCACAGACTGACCCGGCAACAGCACACACAACCGGCGGTCCCACAGGATGTGTCATCCGCGACTTCGCCTTTGAGACATCTTCAGGATGCTGTCCGCACGGGCGTGTCTGCGGCACATGGCGGCCGCGAACTTTGCGGGATCGGAAAGTGCAGATGCGGCGGAATCGGTGGCGGAACGATACGTAAAGCCGGCGCGGCCAATGAATTGGAGGACTCACCACTTGATCCGAAATTGAGGACCCGGAGCATCAGCAGGGCCTCCAGGACAAGGCGGCTCATCATGATACTGCACAGGCAGAAGCGGCTCTTCATCTGGTGACGGACCGTACCCGGGTCCCTGTCCAGACGGACCGCCTCCCCGCGGTGACCCACCACCGTCAGATGGCGGATCATATGGCCTTTCCACATCAGCATCATCCAGACCACCTGGTACCTGCACCAGCCCGCCGCCTGCCGGCGGAAATTCCGGAGGATCACCCCCAACATGCAACTCAACAGGATCATCATCAAGATCCAGTTCTGGCGGATGGTTGTGTGGAGGCGGCACATCCTCATCGTCAACTGTCAGCTCACCAGCTGGATGCTGATAGTCCCATCCTTACCGGCACCAATAGGTTGCGACCAGAACAGGAGTCGGCTGATCAGTAAAATCCAAACCAACATCCGGCCCCCGTCTGGCAACAGGACCACGCTGGTGGAGGCATTACACTCCACGCAGGTGGAGGCAACCGGTTTACCTTGTGTGCCCTCACGCTTGTGAAGGTGTCCGGAGTCTTTCCGAAAATTTCCGGTAAACCTCACGCGGGTGAGGACAACCGGAGGAAATATGCCCGAGGCCCGATGCAAGGACGCAGCCGTGGCTAGCCACTGTGCTTCGCCGTATGAGCATGGCGAAGGAGATGATGACTACCTCTTTCAGAATTATGAGTCTTAACCAGGAAGACACTGCGACGGCAATTCCCGTCTCCTCCGCAAAGCTGGTCCACCCTTGTCATTGTCAAGCTCAGTGATGGCACACAAATCATCGTTCACATCTTCGTAGGCGAACCGACTGCTTCGCACATCGCAAGAGGGCGGTACCTTCGTGGTCACCTGCCGAAATGCTGAAAGTCAGTGCAACTCTTGCAAATATCCATGATTTGTCACCGAAACTCAGATCTTCGGCAATCTTCCTTGTTTGAAGACATCTGTGAGGACTTTCATGATGGAGCTTTGTGCTGTGCCTTCGTTCTGAGCGAGCGAAATTCGGAATCATAGCCTGTTCTGCCATCTCAACAGGAGTATTCATTCCAGCAGAACAGCTCAAAAGGCAAGCTTCCGAAAAAAACTTCAGATTGTTGCGCCACAACGATTTATGACATCGTCTTTGGTTCAAACCCTGTCTTACATTGACAACTTGCTGCCGGGAGCGGAATTGGAGATTCACTCCACTACCTCTAAACATGCGGTGGCCCTGAGGCCCAAAAGCAGACTGTGCTTGTTCTGGCTTTTCCATACGTGTACCTGGAGTTTGAATACTTCAATGTCTGCAGGGGCACCTACGGGAAACCATGTCTTCTAGTTCATCGTCACCCTGACACAGTTGTCATTTTGTGGACGAAAGGTGATGATTATGACCATGTGCTTCTTGGCCATGTCGCAGCTCTTACCTTCCCTCAAGGATATGAAACCCGATAGTTGGTCCATGATTGCTTTCGGGAATGAGCCGACATTCCCAGGAGCTCCGCTACCACGTTTAGATGTAACCTGGGCGTGTAGACCCTCGCAGAAGTACAGGGATACAAGCAACGCAGGAGTCTCTTTTCTACAGGCTCACAGCTGTAGTCGATACATATGTACTCTGCTAGAGTTCGTTAGAACCTTGAGCAGCGCACCGGCCCCGCCCCCCCCCCGTCCCATACCTGCCCCTCTTCTTCCAACACACACGCCCGCAATACTGACATCAACAAGAATTCTTAAGTAGCAAACGACGTCGTTCACTCCAGACCTTATCTGTGTGACCTACCTGTTGCTTTCCGAAACAATGCACCTGCCTCAAGCACAGGCGGGCCGAGGCGGACGATGCGAAGCATTAAAACAAAAACACACCGAGTCGTCCGAAAACGCTTTCTTGGACATTGCTTTATCCTACGTCGGCCACGAAAAGTGGCCAAAAAAAACAAAACCAATCTAACACTTTGCAAGACCAAGGGCGCGCCAAGCAGTCGATAAGCCGTCTTAGCCACAGGTGTTGTGTTTTGTGCCAAAACATGATTGTTGCGCAAACTCGGACGAATAGAAAGTGCTTTGTGTGCTGGCCGACTTGACATAACAATCTGCCAAACACAGACTGAATCCTCATTTCTCCCGCTCCACCGCCGCTCGCGCATGCAAGAAGTGTCCTGAAGCCTTGCGCGGCTCAAAGAACGATGCTCAACAACCTCACCAACTGAAACAAACTTCTTGCAAACATTTGCAAACCATACAACATATTTCCGTTTATCGGCTGACACGGCCAGCTGAACATGTCAATAAACAAACCTGGAGTTTTGGCAGCTCGAGAATCTCGCGGAACCCTCACACGCATGTGGAGAGAGTGGTACTTTGCGACGCCGCCGTCAGCTCAGCTCTGCCTGCTCCGTCGGCCAGTCAACAGCGACGCAGCCGGCCTGGGCAGCAGGCGAAGGGAGATCTCAGTAACGCAGACATGTGCGAGAATTGCACAAGCACAATCGCAAGCCTCGTCCTGGTGCGCGACGACGCTGTTCAGGCAGGTGCCATTACCTGAGATTGGAGGGGAGAGCCCCGAAAAGCCCGACTCCCGTAGAGTGTGGGTGTCAAGCTCAGGTCCCACAGCTGCATGCGCCCGTCGGAGGTTGTGCAGAGTACACCTGGGGTTCTGGTTCTGACGCTTCAAAAGACTCTGGCAGTTGCCTCTTGGAACCTGGCGCATCCTCTCCCAGCAAGCAACCATCGCCTGCTCGGTGCTTACAGTCTACACATAGCAACACTTCCTTGATGACTTGATGGTATCCCACCAGGATTGCGGACTGCACGAGGGGAGTCATGTCCTGCACCTCAGAAGTCAAAGACCAGGTGGCCCGCTGAAGAGCTTTCTCAGTCGACCGCCTTCTCTGCGTTGGCGGGATTCCAGAGCCTGATGCCTCCTGCTGCATCGCCAACAGTTGCAGTCCTTGGAACTTTCTGCAGCTCAGTACTGCCTTCGCTGGCACCTGAAAGGATGTGCCGCACCTTGGGCTCCTTCCAAACCGCAGAGAGATGAGCCGGGAACCGCAAAGCGATGATGAGCAAAGGATTGGAAGGGGCCTTTTGCGAGGAGACCACGTTCAGCATAACAAGGCCAGGCTCGATGAACCAATCCTGCTTACAGCGATGCCAGCTATTTTTTCCTACAGCAAAGCGAATCCCCACCTCCAGGGTGGAGTCGTTCGGCAGCATCTCCCCCAGCCTCGCAGTCCAGGGGTACCGGGTAATTCTTCGCAAGAGGAGAAACAGGATTCGTGAAGCAAGTGCCGTGCCAAAGCAGCTGCGAGGAGGCGGCAGCACCGGGCAACCGCTGCTTTAAAGAACCCACCTGGCTATTAGCATACCCTCCGCTCGCACCTGCAAGTTCTTTTTGTCGAAATGCTCGCCTCCGTCTCTCTGTTTCCTTCTTCTTGTGTTGGGTGTGAGGGGCCGGTCCGACCCCCCGTCAGCCCAGTGTTCGGGTTCCCGAAAACGTGCGAAGACTACATGAGAGACTGTCTCCCGAAGCAACTACGTGGGAACGTGTTTATCCATTACAAGGACAAGCACTGCCGTGCTTGGTACATCGGTTCTGCCACAAGTTGGCGGGTTTTGACGAGGAAAATAAAATGTTGGTGGATTGAATGCCATCGTCCCGGCACTCCCGAAAACGTTTGCGTCATCGAACTTATCTGCATGTGCCTGGGACCGAAATTTTGTAAAACGAAGGCGTGCGTGAATTTTTCGGGCCTTACTTTCGCTGTGCCGGTGGAAGGCTGATCCTTGCCTTCATTTTATAAGGTGGTCCCCCGCCGCCAAAACCCCCCGCAAAACGAACTGTGTAACAGAACGACAATCCCCAGTGGACCCAAGCATCAAAGCATCCACGGTCGTGTTAGACATGAAAGGTGGTGATGATCGGGATTCATCACCCCCTTTTTGCACTCACAAACATAGTCTTTGGCTTGTGGAAACACATGAACTAAAACAAACGTTATTAGCACACTTCAACAATAATCCGTTCAACATGACATTGAATGAAAACCTGCATGTGTACAAGGATATTTATGGTCGCCACGCCCAACCACCAGCTACCACTCCTTTTCAATCACCCTTCCGGCCTTCTGCAGCATGGATGCCTACTTTGGTTTGGCTCAAATGCTCAACAAGACGAAAACAACAGCACAACTCAACGAGCTTCAGAGAATGCCGGAAATGCATTGGCTGTGTTTTTGAAAAATGTTGGTTTGAGTTCGTATGGTTTCAACCCCCCAGCCGCCCCAGCCTCAAAAAACAAAAAAACAAAGATCCGGAGAGAATGCGGATGTGTTTTGGGTTTTTGGTTGTTTAGTGTTGGCGTTTGAATTGGCGCCACATAAGACAACCCAATGACCCAGACCCAAACCCAAACAAGGTCAAGCCGGCAACCCAGAACCAAACCGTTCTTTTATGTTTATATACAGGCAGAACAGCCAACAAAAACAATGCGCACTTTACTTGAGCCAAGCACGACTGTATAAGAGTATGACTAGCTACATCTTCTACAGAATACACCCCAACCCCCCGCATCTTATTGTAACGGAAAAGGCGAAGGCAGATAGAAGGAAAGACTAGTCGTTAGACCGTCGTAGTGTCATCACTTTGTGATGAAAACAAATGATCATGAACTAAAAAATAAACGTGCAGGCCATGTTTTCCGTCCTTGGCTGCACTGAGCTGGTTCTGCTACCACCCCGCGAGGGCGGTGCCGAAGCTTAAATCACACTTCACTTCCAATGAGACGGTATCTAGGTTCTCAGACTATCAAGCCGTTAGGGAGGTGCCCCGGCATTACAGGCCACGAATTGAAAAACGGGAGCCATCAACAGATCCTGTCCTTGCGACCCGTTCTGTAGTTTCCCAGTGCATGGCCTAATGCTCCTCAGACCCTTCCGGGAACTCATGCTGCAAATGCATGCGTAACGACTCCAGCGACATTTCTCACTCAATGGACTCTGTTTGTTGGTATGCCTCCGAGCATACAGAGCACACCAATACCATTCGGTATGTGGCGACCCATAATCTTAGCCAACGCGCGCTTGGCTCACAAGAGAGCTGTAACTCTCTCCTCCCGGGGTGGGAGGGTGCGCAGCGGGGCCAAAGATTGCATGCAAACGGACTTTTCCCAGTGCATGGCCTAATGCTCCTCAGACCCTTCCGGGAACTCATGCTGCAAATGCATGCGTAACGACTCCAGCGACATTTCTCACTCAATGGACTCTGTTTGTTGGTATGCCTCCGAGCATACAGAGCACACCAATACCATTCGGTATGTGGCGACCCATAATCTTAGCCAACGCGCGCTTGGCTCACAAGAGAGCTGTAACTCTCTCCTCCCGGGGTGGGAGGGTGCGCAGCGGGGCCAAAGATTGCATGCAAACGGACTTTTCCCAGTGCATGGCCTAATGCTCCTCAGACCCTTCCGGGAACTCATGCTGCAAATGCATGCGTAACGACTCCAGCGACATTTCTCACTCAATGGACTCTGTTTGTTGGTATGCCTCCGAGCATACAGAGCACACCAATACCATTCGGTATGTGGCGATCCATAATCTTAGCCAACGCGCGCTTGGCTCACAAGAGACGAGAGCTGTAACTCTCTCCTCCCACTCATCCTCCAACTCGAAAGAGGTATGTAAATCATACTTTGAACAACCGGAAAACCACCGATTCCAACAGCGTAAATGAGTCTTGTGTAACACCCCTTTGCGAATCAAAAGAGACATCCGCACGCTGAAGAGCTAAATGCAAGCTCCACACGAACGGTGTGAGTGCACACCAGCGCTCCCATCTGAGCTGTGTATCTTTGGAAGTGTGTTCTTGAGCGCGGAGGACAGCTACTTCTCCCTTTCTAATATACTCACGAGCCGAACGGTCCGAAAGCCACCGCCCAAACATCATCCCAATGCGGCTGGTAACCGATATATGAAGAACTGTTCTGGTAACCTCTGAGCGCAGTTACCAGCCAAAAGGGGCCAGTTCCTGGAACCAGTTCCGATGTTGTCCCCCGAAAGTATGCGTACATGTTATTATTAATAGTACAATATATAAATATATATATATATATATATATATATTGTACTATTCTATATATATATATATATATAATAGCTAATATATATATATATATATATATATATATGTATATATATATATATACATGGGGACAGAGGGTATATATACATGGGGACAGATGGAGACAAACCGAGAGATTCAGTTGATCACGATGTCGGAATGGAAGGCCTGCAGTTTCCGGTTCATCCCGTTTGGACATCCCGGAAACAATAGCTATGCCACCCTAATCTTGGAGCAAGCATTTGTTTAAAACCCTGCAATGTCTTGAAACCTGAAAGCCAGCAGCACCCTACAGCCCAGGACCAGGACATGCCGATTGCATGTCATATACATGCAGTGCTGTGCTGTCTAGATCTATGCCGTGTCTCAACGGTGCTTTGCAATCGCTGCCATGCAGCGAGCCCTGCTGCTTTCTCGAAGCAAGTTGCTGGAGAAGAACAAGCGGAAACGTGTACCCCCCCTGCCGGCTTGCCTGCATCGTGTGCGGCTGTGTGCATTTACATGCAGGTGTAGTCTGTACATGTTGCATTTTGTGCGCTTTGCATGCATGCATGGCTTGGGTTTTAAAAGCCGTTTTGCTTCACAGCAGTTCCAGGCCTTGAAGGGTCATGTCGAATGATGGGTGTGCCGTTGTTGCGGCAGCCGATGATAACGATGATGAGTTCGATGTATCGAACGATTACGAGTGGCTTGCTGTGGATTAGCTAACGGGGTTTGACCGCGAGCCAAGATTTGAGTATTTGTCGTAGCTTGCAATTGCATACTCGAGGACCATGGTGATCAAGGATATCCTGGACGAGTGGGTTCGGGGCAAAGACGAGGGGAAGAAGCACAGCCGTGCTGGGGAAGCGAGGCGGAAGGAAGAGATTCGGCAGCAAGGGGATTTGGAAGTGTGGTGGTATGCTCATAGTTTTGCCTTACTAGTCTGCATTGTCCATCTGAGGGGCATGAACTCTTGGAGCCCTTCCAATTCATATCAGATGCTGCCGTGGAGGTTGCTTTCGAGGCGATCGCTCCACTGCTTGCATCTTTCGGGTGCAGTCAGCCCCCTCTGGGAAAGTACAAGGTATCTTGTCATGCTATTACATTATACGGATTCCTAATTGCTACAGAATACGCATTTCGGCTCAGGACGGTTTCGAATGGATTCTGAAAGAGCACGATATCATGGGCAAAAATGTGAAGAAAAAGGAAAGCCAGGCCGGCTCCAGTGTGTGTGTGTGCATGTGTAGACTCGTCCTCAGCGGCTGTGACAGTGTTGCAGTTGCCGAGCGAATACATGTTTGTGCACCTGGCTTGCAGATGTGGGTGGATTACCACTCCGGGACTTTGCGAGGACGAGTGATCTATTTGGTGAGATTGTACCGGAAAACTCCGGATCGATCGAAGCTGCTTTCCGGCACATATGCATGCGGTGGGTGGCGAGCTCGACAGACAGATGTGGAGAGAGAGAGAGAGAGAGAGAGAGAGAGAGAGAGAGAGAGAGAGAGAGAGAGAGAGAGAGAGAGAGAGAGAGAGAGAGAGAGAGAGAGAGAGAGAGAGAGAGAGAGAGAGAGAGAGAGAGAGAGTGCGTGTGTGTCTGTGTGTGTATGAGGTCTCCCAAGATACAGATGCTCAAGGACATCTTGAAAGCTCAAGAGCCTCCACCCGAATCCGGGGGCCAGGATATGGCAGCGGCTCCAATCGAAGCTGAGGACCAGGATATGGCAGAGACTCCAGCCGAAGCTGGGGACCAGGATATGGCAGAGGCTCCAACCGAAGCTGGGGACCAGGATATGGCAGAGGCTCCAGCCGAACCCGGGGACCAGGATATGGCAGAGGCTCCAGCCGAGGATGGGGTTGAGGCGAGGGTTGACGTGAAGCCTTCTGTGATACATTTAGCAGAATATTGCACATGAAAATGTTGCAGTTGTACAGGCAGTGGAGAAGAGCTACCCACCGGTGCCTGCTTTCGAGGACTAGCTGGTGCATGCTTCATAAAATCTAATGATGTTTCTTTGCATGCAGGGTGCGATTCAGCTATCCACAGATGCAGACAGCCAGATCGTTGAGGAGCAGGAGGAAGAGCATTTTCAGTATCAGACCGATCGTACAGACATGTGTGCATGTGCTTATTGTGCAATGTGCTTGCAACCTCCATGTGCAGGAACACGAGGTGCCAGCCACCCAGCCCGATCCCCCATCAGCCGAGAAGCCGAAGCCCGAGAAGGACAATTCTGGGATAGCGCCTATGTGTGTACCATGTGCATGTATGTGTACGATGTATGGTCATGACATCTCTTTCCCAATCCATCAGTATCTATATTATGTTTTGCTTTTAAATTTGATTATTGTCAGGATCCGAAAGACTCCGAGGACTCCCACGGCGATCGAACGAGCGACAAGGACTTCATGGAAGGATCACTCCATGAAATTTTGAAGATATGGATTTCGAAGCTTGCAGGATCGCAAACCCTTGGTGGCCGAAGCTCCAACCTGGGATTCCAGCCAGGCTGAAAAAGTGTTGGAGGAAGCAGGCGGTGAGGATGATGCTGCTTTGTCCGAGCTGCAGTCCAAACTGTTTCCCAGCTGAATATAGTACTTGCATGCACATGGGCTGCATTTGGCATGACAGCACGTACAATCGCACTTAGAGTGTACATGTACATTCCATCCGAGGCGAGCAGCTGCTAAGGCGAAGGCAACTGTTGAGCATGCGGAAAAGAAGACTCGAGGACGTGGCCGTGGAGGCGGCGGTCGTGGAGGCGGCCGTGGAAGGAGCACGGTTGCAATTCATTCCATATAGCTGATCACTTTCATAATATCATGCAGGAGTGGCGCCGCATTGAAGCGGCCAGCAGCTGCAAAGCGGAAGGTCGACGAGGTGGACGAGGTTGGGCCGGAGACGGAAGTGGTCGAGGCCTCCGCCGGGATGGCGCAAAGCAAGGAGGAGGATATCGATGCTGAAGCCAAGCCCGAGAAGAAAGCAAAGAAAGGCGAGCAGGAAGCAGACGGGAATGATGATAAAGGCAAGAACGACAAGAAAAACAAGAAAGACCGGACAGCCGAGGAGAAGGAGGTGCTGGACAGCATCCCGGAGCTTGAGAACTACAGAGTTCTTCAGCTGGCAATAGACCCGCACATTATCACAAATCGTGCTGGCAGTATGTTGTTGCTGTTACAAGCTCATCCAGCATTGAGGTGATGCCGTACTGGAGCCGACCTTTCGAGTGTGGTGTCGTGCGCAAAGCGACATCAGCGAGGCCTAAGAAGCAGGCAGGATGTCCGTGCAGGTCAGTTTGTGATGTGTGCGGTAGTGTTGCGGCATTGTGTAGCAGCTAAGTAGCAGGTGCTGTTCATCTCCGGCAAGCACACGGGGCTGCCTATCACGTGGAAGGAGCTTGTTGACCCTTGCATCAAAGCCGTGGCTTGCCGGTAAATAGATAGCATATACTTTTCGTGGCAGTGGCAACAGTGTCGAGCTGCCAAACATCCGGTTGCCTTTTTGAGGCTGAGTCTTTGGAAGAGGGCAAGGAAATGGCGGTGGTGGAAGATGCCTTCGAGCAGGACAAAATGGCTTTGGCAAAATTGACGGCCCAGCGCCGGGCCGAAAAGGCCGTGAAGTAGAGCTGCTGTGGAATGGATGTGATCGTCCTGACTGGAAAGGGTCCAGTTTACAGGATGAGGTTTTGATGGCCTCCCCGACATAGTGATCCTGCCCGAACACATAAACCATGCTGTTCATTTTGGGCCTCGGCTTTGCCGTTCAGTAGTGGACACGACTGCCGCAGATGCTGCTTTCGACGGGTCCAAATGTGTAGTTGCCAGCCCTGCAGATTTCGAGTGTCATTCGAAAGGTTCTGCAGTAGTAGTAGTGATGACACAGGCATGATACATGTTGTGCTGTTGGCTCGTGCATGTGGCTGCTTCATGCAATTGTTCAGCAGGCAGCACCTTGACTAGAAAACTGAGGCCTGTTCCAGTCTATCCCGACCCTGTATGGTTATAGGTTATAGGTCGTTACAATCCGAAGGGTTATAGGTAGTACATCCCTAAACCTTAAACCCCTGAAGCCAGGCTTTGTCCGAGTGTGAGTGTCAAAAAGCCCCTGAAGCTTATAATTAAACTGTACATAATGAAGAGATGATCATCCGAGGCCAACGATATGTGATGTGGCGCTTTTTCTCGTGGCTGGCATCGCTGGAATCTCCGATGACTCCGGCCATATATGGACTCGATTTTATCGTCCACCGGCACAGCCCGGAATATGTGTCATGGTATTATACTCTAGAGGGAGACGTGGTCTTGCACAGCAGATAGAGCTGACAGAACAACCCAGGAACGGTTATTGGATGTGGAGTCGATCAAGATCCTGACCTATACTACAGTCTGATGCCGCCACGGGATATCTCGATGCTGTTTGCCGGCCTGAAGTGTTTTGCAGCAGTAGTAGTTACTAGTAGTAGAAGTAGTAGTAGTAGTAGTAGTAGTAGTAGTAGTAGTCGTAGTCGTAGTCGTAGTCGTAGTCGTAGTAGTAGTAGTAGTATAGTAGTAGTAGTAGTAGTAGTAGTAGTAGTAGTAGTAGTAGTAGTAGTAGTAGTAGTAGTAGTAGTAGTAGTAGTGGTAGTAGTAGGAGTAGTAGTAGTAGTACTACGGTTGATGATATAAATCCTGCATTACCTTATAAGGACCCTAAACTATGGGAATTTTAGTACATTCCTTATTATGGGTCATGCAGGATTTATACCATCAGCCGTAGTACTATACTACTACGTACTACTAGTGCTACTACGTAATGCTGCTGCTACCTACTACTACTTCTACTAGTACTGCTGCTAGCTACTAGTCTCCTACTCCTACTCCCACTCCTAGTCCCACTCACATTCCCACACTAGGAGGACTACTACTTTACTACTACTTGCCTTGAGGTTGACAAGACTTTGCTCCCTCTGGTCTTCGGCCTGGACAGGCTCCTTCGACACATTGCTGGGTTTTCAGGAATTGGGAACTGACCTTAGGACGAAGTCACCTTGTCGAAGTCGCCATTGCAGTTTGGATCCTAGTGGAGCATTCGCTCCTTTCAACACAATTTATCAATTGCTATGCAGACGATTGGGTGAAGTCTTGAGGCTCAGGGTTGAGAGAGTTCGGATCGTTTGCCATGGCGAGTAACGGTAGTACTAGTGTCAAGATATCAGGTCCAAGCAGGGACTGGGGATGTCGGGTTGCTTGCCACGATTTAACTTAATTCATCATGCTAAGAATATATAGATCAGAAGCTGCCCCCACCCTGTAATAGTGGAATATAATAGGGCCCTAATATAATCCTTTATGATCTTATAGTCACTATTACAGGGTGGGGGGCGGCTTCTAATATATAGACATAGGCTCAACAAGGAGGGATTCGGGCTTAAGGCTGTCGGGGGCTTAAATTCACGGATTTGGGCATAGTCGGGGTATGGAGTTGTGTCGTAGGGTTGAGGTTTGGGGATGTTCATCCCCACGATCGGCGCTTTGGGCTTCCGGTTTTGGTGTGCAGTGTGCTCTATTAATGCTTCGGAGCTCTAGCTAATCCTCAAAGCCTATAATCATCTATAACCCTAAACCCTATAATAATCGATAACCCTAAACCCTAAACCCGGAACCAAACCCTCAACCCTAAACCTTAAACTCCGCACTAAAAGCCGGAAGCCCTCGAGCGGCTCACGCCGTAGTCCGGACAGCCTGAGACGGACAGCCGGAGGTTTGGAAACCGACATATCCGATCGCAGAATCCCAGTTCAAGCCTGTGCATAAACTGCCCATCCCTGAGGCATGAACCCTGATGTATACATCGACTGAAGCCAACCGAAGTATCCACCCAGGTTCTTCTCGTATGCACGACCGATGGCGGTATGGCCGGCTACGGTGTGTGATCGTGCCTACGTAGTGGATCTCGAAGCAGCAATGGGCGTCGGGTTTACGGGAATCCCACAAGGAAATAGATTATATGCTAGATCCGAAGCAATCACTAAATGAATATATATATATATATATATATATATATATATATACATACATTTGTAAAAACTTACGAACCTAGGGCTCCAGCTACCTAAATAGCTTATCGTAGGTTACTGGGGTATATAATATATGGCTAGTAACCTACTATTTAAGTAACTGGAGCCTTAGGGAAAGGTAGGGGTCTTGGGTTTCGGGATTTCCAAACATTCGGGAGCCGGCAATCGGGCAAAGGGCAAAGAGTTTGGGACTGTGTGATCGAGCGGCTTCCCACTACATGTGCAACTTGCAATGCCAGTGCTTTTAATCCGACTGCTGCTTCAACATCGATCCCTGAAAGAGCTTTTGGGCTTACATCTTTTCGGAGCCCTGGCTGGTCGCTCTTTGCAGCTTGACTTATGACAAACGAAACATGTGCATACCATGATGCTACATCACGCAGGAGTGAACCCCGACCAAGTACTATATGTAATCCCACGTACATCCCAGGCGACTTTGTGCCCGGCCCGCCTTCATCGAGTTCTGAGCCTGGGCATTACACTGATCATTCCACTTTTATAATTCATGTAAATATACATATTAGCATAGATCTCCAAACTCGGGGTCCGAGGCGAAGCCTTCCAGCCCTAATCCATCAATTGAACCTCAGAAAAATACTTGCAAGGTTCTGTGATATAGGCTAAGTGCTAAACCCCAAATCGGGAAGGGTTGGGTCGTAAACTCAATCTAGCGATCTGTTCATGTTCAACTAGGCACCAAAGGGTTGGGTGTAGAACCCCAAGTGTGCAGGGGTATGATTTGTCCCGATAACTATATAAAGGATTCACTTAACCCTGAGCCCTAACACTAGCGAGTGGAAGAGGCTTAGGGCTTAGGGCGGTTTAGGTTGCTAAACCCCAAAACTATAACCTGTTGGGGCTCAACGGTGCTTGGGGCCTACATGATAAGCCGAAAGTCCAAATCCCTAAAATCGGAACAAGCTCCGGGTACGAAATCCCACACCTTACAAACGTTCTTTCCAAAGCCCGAGTTTCAATCCGCTGACTAGATGTTTCACCGAATTCCCCCAGGGCTCAGGGTGCTATATCATTATCAGCAGATTTCAATGTTCCTATTTGACTCTGTATGGCGAACGTGGCAAACCTAAACGGGGTGGTCGTGTGTGGGGGGTGCCCGAATGGTTGATCGTACGTCCAGCTGCAGTCACCGCAGTGCCTCGAGAGCCGTCTCGAAGTAAAGCTTGCTTTGTCGGGCGCCTTGTGCAACACGTCTGCCCTTTCTGATGTGGTTGCTCAGATGTGCGACTGGAATGATCAGTTCAGCACGAAGCTGAAAGCCTTGATGCAGTCTTTGTGCAAGACATGCTAGCAAGGGGGTGTCCTGGCCCAGCCTCGGTGTGCAATGAATGTGGGTCAAACCCAGTGCAGTATGTCGATTCCTTCAAAGGTTCAGAGATTGCAACCCGCTAGAATGAAAGCTTTCTGGTCTGCAAACCCAGAATCATATATCATATTTTGGTCACCGATCATCCCGAAGTCACGAACGTTCCAGTACTGTACTAGGGAAATTACTAACCTGCTGCTGCTACTACACTACAGCAACAACACCTACTAGTACTACTAGCTACTACTATCACTACTCCTACCACTACCACTACGACTACTACTCCTATTGCCGTGGACTACTTCCACTCCTGCTCCTGTTGCTGCTAAGTATTAATACTCTACGAATATCCCGAACTTACAGATGCCTGAACCGGCAAGCCCAGATTGGGTTCGTAGGCCGAGTTCCAAAAAAGCCCTTAATATCCCAAGCCGGTTAGACAGAGCCCTGCCGATCCTATCAGGCCTACACCTCCGAAAAAAAATAGCTTCCCTAAACCCTTAAAACCGAAAACCGCTAAATAACCTAGGCCTCGCCCTCGGCGCTTTGGCAGCCACACGGACCGGCGGTTCGGCAGCCACACGGACCTGCAGTTCAGGACTAGGGGTGTGGTAATTAAGGTCAAGATTAGCTAGGGTGTACTGTAGGGTTTAAGTGTTTGTGGTGTAGAGATTCCATCGGGCAAGATTAGGGTAGCACCAGGCCAGGTAGTCTGAAACCACAAGCTTGGGGTCGGTGTTTGATGGTACTCATGTGTTGCTAACAGCACATACTTGAAAGCCCTGGAACTACAACTGGAAACTCGAAGCCTCTGAGGAAGTATGCCGAATCTGTAGGGCTTAGGGTTGGGGCTTGCATATATGAAGGGCTTTGACTCTAGTCTTATATAAAATCCGAAAAGTTGGGTCTTGGACAAGCACTGTGCAATCGGAGATTTAGGGTTCATCGTTAAGTGTAGCACCGGGTGAAGATTTAATTAAGGCTGGGTGTCAAAATTGGCCATGGGGTGTCCGAATATATTGGATCCTAGTACTCGTATCGCTACCCGAGTCCTGGCTTTCAGCTGGTTGCCGGGCAGTACATGAACAGGCCTCAAGAACTAAATAAGGAACCCGAAGCCAAGAATGTATATGCATGATATAGAATTTTGCAATAATATATATATATATATATATATAAATATATATATATATACATATATATATATATATATATACATCTAAAAAGCCGTAAACTAAAGCCCAAACTTTGCACAGAACACACCCTAAACACTAGAAGCCAGAAACCTTCTATTTGGATCGGGGACCCCTAACATCGGTTTTGCGGTCGTGAGAGTACAGGATGCCCGGGCGAGGCGACAGGAGTAGATCTAGAGTATTGCACAACGAGTGACCAAGACCTAGACTATTTGGGTGGGGCGGGTGGGTGTGATGGTTGGTGATGCTGATGTCCCAGAGGCTTTGGTTGCCGGGTATGTGGTGGTGCCCCGATATTGTCAAAACCAGCTCCGTGATGGAGGATAGCTGATGTGTCTCCACAGAGCATCTCGACGAGTGTGGTGGGCCCAGATGAACTGGTCCTCCCACGAGTCTGAGAACCTTCGTGGTGTCCGGAGTCGATGGCTCCGGTGGGCTCAAAGCTTTGGCGGAGTTGAACGCCCGGTACATCTCGGAGGCCTTGAGCTCCCTGATCGTCTCGACACGTTTGTGCCGCTGGTTCTGAAATTTGTCCGGCTCCAAAACCGGCCAGCGACGACTGTGACGACCTTGCCCATGATGCTTAGATGCTCTGGATGCTCGATGTCGGTGTGCACGGGACCCTTATCCCCTTTAACCCCTTGGCATTCAATCCAGCGATCATGATCAGTAATGTACTTACTAGATCGGTGCTGAAACGCAATATACCGCCGTTCGACAGGAATCACCGCCAAACCTATAGGACCCTTAATTTCATCGCCCGAACCCTCTGCCCTAAACCCGAGGTCCTGAAGTCCGATAGAGTGAGCCTTCCTTATCGAGGGAAGCAGGCAGCCAGTATCAGCCATGTGATATATACATATATATATATATACACACACACATATATATATATGTGTGTGTCTGTGATGGATGAGAAGGAAGGTTGGATGGATGGGTGGATGGTTGGATGGATGGATGGATGGACGGACGGACGGATGCTGCTATGGTATGTACGCATCGTGATTGATATATATATATATATATATATATATATATATGAGATGAGATCGTGATATGATATGGCCATGATATGACACGGTATGATCACATATTATGAAATATATGTTGAGATATGATGTGGTACGGTATGTTGCAACTATATCTATATCTATATATAATATCTATATCTATCTATATATATATATATCTACATCTACATCTACATCTATATCTATATCTATATATATATATATAGCTATCTATATCCATATATATATATATATATATATATATTATATTTGCATACATATGTATGCATGTATGTATGTGTGTATGCATGTATGTATGCATGTATGTGTGTGTATGTATGTATATGTCTTATATGTATTATGTAGAAGTCGTATCCCATCTACAAAAACCCACGATCCCTACGCCTAAACCCGAAGCCCTCAAGCCCGACAAGCTTTATAAGTCAGAAACCCGAAGCATGTTATAAGAAATATCACCTTGTGCCTCTGAGGACTGCGGTGTGGACATCTCGCCTGCAGAGAGTGCAGGCAAAGCGGATACAGGACAACGCCTGCTTCGGGATTTTCAGGCTTTCCTCTAAATTTTCAGACAATTTGTAGCCGGGCGCAATGGAAGAGGCGACCCGTGAGGGCTGCGGCAGGCGCCAGGGGCAGGGTGGGTGGGGGAGGAGGCCTCGGAACCGTAACGGGAGGCCTCGGAACCGTCACCGGAGGCCTCGGAACCGTAACCGGAGGCCTCGGAACCGTAACACAGGGCCTGGAACCGTAACGCCCCAAATCCCCTTAAGTGGCCCTACGAAAATCTCCGGTTCACGCAGGATATGAAACGTGGCAATGGATCCAACTGCACGGCTGCGGGGGCCGACGTGAGCAAGTTCATTGCCCAGGCTAAGGCGAGGGCAGCTTTAGCCAAGGGTGTTACGCCCACCCCGAAAGTAGCACCTGCCCCGGCTTCTGTGTCTGCGAAGTCGACTCTCGGTATGGCATTTAATAGGTATTTCGCAGCAAACCATCGGAGCTACAAGCCTCAATCTGCAATTTTTGCATGCCAGCCCAGGACCGCGATCAAAAGCCCGGACATGAAGAAGCCTCGCACCGGAGCAGAAGCTGCTGCGCCTACGAAAAGGTTGTCAACAAAGGGCCCGCCGCCTGTGCCAGCAGCGAAGGCGAAGCAGCCGCCATCCTCCAAGACCCCAGAGTCGTGTCTTTCTGCAAATTTATTATGGGTTTTGGGGTGTGACTTCCAGTTGCCTCTAGCACTCAATGCAACTCCGATCCATGTACTAGTATACCCTACACCCTCAATCCCTTAACCCCTGTCGACACTATGACTTCCTAGGCCCAAGTGGCCGGCCTCTAAAAGCCGAACCCTTTGATATATAATAATATTATATATATATATATATATATAGACACCGAACCGTATAATATACTATATATATATATATATATATATATATATACATATCCTTAAGAGCCATGTAATAAACCTTATAATGTCCGGCAGGCTCTAAACCCTACACCCTAAAATCGCAACCCTACACTTGGGAAAGATTCGGATTGTCGATGAGGCCGAAGTCTTCGACTACGGCTACTACTAGTACTGCTGAGACCTCTACGCCAGCACCGATTCGCCGGAGCAGCCAAGCTACAATTATTCATATCGCCCTACAACCTAACAACCCAATACCCGAAACTTTACAACATGCAGCTCTACTGGATGGTAGACATGGCAAGCTGTCGTGGATGCAGTAATGCAGGCATGCACACCTAGAAATGATCGGTCACATGCATACATGTTCGTGTATATATATATATATCATGTTAATTAATTATAAATAAATAAATTATGTGTAACGGTTGCTAGATCTTCATTACAGAGTAGATACAAACACGTAGACAGAACAATGGATATGCAGGGCAACAAGCTATAACTACATATGTATATATGTAGAAATATAGGTAGCGATAAGTAATAGATCTAGAGAGTAGATACACACATAGACAGCTGTAGATGTCAATAGATCTACATGGCTGGGTCAGTAGCCAGCCAGGTAGGTAAGTAGGCAGTAGGTACGGGTATGTTCAATTAATCTTTCCCTAGGGCTCCAGTTACCCAAATAGTAAGTTACTGGGGTACATAATCTATGGCTAGTAACCTACTATTTAGGTAACTGGAGCTCTAGGTTTGCTAACGGTAAGATCGAGGTTGGACCGCTGCGGAGACCGGCAGCCAGGTGCCCTCGGCATCTCCCATGTCGACGACAATGACGCCATTGGGGCCGAAGGTGCTGGCGAAAGAGTTCGCGACACCCGGAAGCATGTCTGTGGATACCCCGACTGAGAAGAAGTGCGATGAGTGGTGGGGCGACGAGTCCTGGCACTCAGCCTGGGATGCACACGGCTGGGATTCATGGTACCGCCGCACCCCATCGTCCTGGGACGGTTGGGGTTGGGGTAGCGGCTCTTGGAGTGCAGGTGACTGGCAGGCCTCATCTGTGCAATGGGGCCGCCGGGGCGCTGTGGAGGAGATTAAGGCAGAAGAAGAGAGCCAGCCAGATCTGGAAACACTGCTCGAGAGAGCCTACGAATCTTATGGCGAGAGCGACAGTGGATCGGAGAAGGAAAAAGGCTCTAGATCTTTGAGGAGCCTGGATTCCGCCACCAC